TATTATAATAATATATTATAATAATATAACGATAGAATAATATCAATTTTTCACATTTAATGCTGTGTGACTTTTCTTCTCATTTTTCTATGCTTTAAATTTTATTTCTTTATATACATTATCAAATTTTCACATATTATTTTTATTTTATTGCAAAATTCATAATAAATTCAAATCTTTTTCTCTTTTAATTTTTTATTCTTGTTTTTCATTGATATATGAAATAATATTCTACTTTAGTATTTTCTCCTTTTCGAGATATTCTGTGTATGCTGTTGTATTTTTTCTAATTCTTACTCCCTTGCACTCTCCCTCTCTTTCTCCTTCTCTTCTGTTCGTTCGAAAGCACGACAGCATCAGTTATGTTAAACTTTTCATGTCAGCATCAAATCCGTGTGCATTTTTGATAAAATTCAGACATTCATGAAAACTAATCCGCGTTCAACAGGAATTTTTGTTGATTCGCAAATAGATATGTGTGTGCAAACAATATATTGTTTGCGACAAAAACATAATTTTATATTTTATATACGGTTATATAAAAAACAAATGATAATTAATTATTAAACAGTAATTTATTAACTCATGTTTTATATCGTGAGTTTATCATCACATTTAAAAGAAAAATATTAAAAAGCTGATAAGAATTCTTTGCGATTTATTCATGTTTCACTTTCGAAATTCGATAACTGTAAAGAGAAATCTTATAATTACACAAAATTGTGATAAAAATAATTATGTGGTGCAATTATGTTGAATTTACTTTGAAAGGTACAGTACTTATTTTATATATATATATATATATAAAATAAGTTATCAAATTACAGTTAAGTTACGTTGAAGGTTTTTTTCTTATATCATGAAGATTCCGAAATGTAAAATAAAGTCAATACTTTTCAGTTTTGGTCGAAGATTTCAGCTTTTTAATCTAATCTTCGGCTCTCAAACACATTAAAAAATTTTGATTTTATATTTTTTTAAATGAGCGATTTTCCTCCGATGTTTGGAAAATTTCTGATCTGATCCGATCCGATCTGATAGAAGGATCTGATGAGAAAGCAAAAGTGCTACAAAATAGCACTTTTAATAATAGCATTCGATCTCTGGCAAGAGAGTATAGCAATTTCCGGAATGATGATCTTTTCTTTAGAAAGATCAAGAGAATCGATCTCTAGTGGAATACTGATCAAAAGGTGGCAACCGTGTTCACTACATTAATAATATTTATTATTAAATATAATATATATGAATATTAGACTTTAGACTTTCAAGATAATTTGAAATTGATCATTCTCAATCGTTCACAAATACAATTATAACAAAGTACAAAATAATCTGTTAAATATATATTAACCTCATTTTAAAACGAAACAGGATATCCTAAACAAAAACGTATTTGTTTTTATTGCGATCCATTTGGTACTACAAATACTTCGAAGCGTTTAATTGATTAGTCGAAAAAAAGAATTTTACTAATTGACTAATAAAAAAATAATTCGAAGCATTTGTAGTATCAAGTAGACCACAGTGTTACAATGTAGATACTAAATATTTCAAAATATACGATATACATAATTTCAAAATGTACGATGTAAATAATTCAACGCTTTTTGTGATATACGCTGCGTGCTATTTTACTCAAACATGTTTCACTATCCGCTTGGCAAGTCTCTTATGGAAAGATAAAGTGATGCGAGCTAATCTCGATTAACGACTCATAAATAAATTAACGCGGCTACACTGTATAGTGTCAAATTTAACCTAATTTGGCACGCGCGCGCACGTACATATATATACATACACATACAGGGTGCGTCACCAAACTCCGGACAAATCGAACAATTTCTTTAAACAAAATATTTTTTAATGAAAAATTAAATATTACAAAAAATCCTTTTATATGGCACTTAGGGAATCCTTATAGAGCACAATTATTCGATATATCCCTCATTAGTTTGAATGACGGCCTCTATTCTCGGTTTGAAGTGTTCGTACACACGCTGTAATATAGCGCTGTCCATGTCGACGAATGTTACCTTAATAGCGGTCCTTAATGATGTCACATTGGGATGCCGAGACTTGTTTCTGACTCTTTCAACTACGCTCCATACGTAGTAATCCAAGGGATTTAAATCTGGACTGTTGGGAGGCCAGAATTCCTTGAACCAAAATATATTGACGTTATCTGAGAGCCAATTTTGTGAATCAAATGACTCATATGCACCTGCTGAAAAACATCTTCTGGACAGTTTACAGTTACAGTTTCCATCCATGGCTTCATTATATCAGAACTCAGAACGATTGCCCTAAGTCCGAAATTAGCGCTTGAGCTTTCAATAGCTATGGGGATTTTCGCGTTCTTTCGAGTGACTCTTCCTTGCTGGCATACTGGAACCTTCGTTAGACTGTTCTAAAATAACCGTATATTTTGCCACAATGTCATAAACAGTTGATTTCGGGTATCCAAAGAACCGAATTATTTCCGTTGCTGAACACTCAGCGCGAAGGCCTTCGATGATCGTGGCTCTTCGATTATACTCAGCACTTGGTTTCAACATTGTGGCCATTTTGAAAATATGACTGTTTATTAGAAGCATCAGGCTTTCTCGGACGCCAACAACAACCTCTGGCGGAGGCACAATATAACGAAAAATTTAAATTTAAATTTATTCGGATTTTGGTGATGCACCCTGTATACTTCTACTCAGTTATTGTATTTTATATTAAAACAATGTTAATGGAGTTAAATTATTTAAAACAGTTTAAATGGTTTAACTCCATTATTTTAGTATAAAATATTGATATATTAAGTAAGAATAGTGACTCAAATTAGATTAAATTTAACGCTACTTGTAAAAGTAGATATTTCAGCGTAATTTTATCATTCGGAGCAGATATTAAAGTGGTAAAAGATAGAATTTGTTTTTAGAAATTTAGGAAATTATTTTTTTTGTTATGTTATTTATGAAAATGATATTTTTTAACTCGTATAAAATACTCGCATATGAAGGTAAGTGATCGTGTGAAGGTTTGACATACATTTTAACTTATTTATATTTTATGTGTGAACAAAATTTTTATTTTTATTTGTAAATAATTATAGACTGAGATACGTTTTAAACATAAAATAATTTTTAAGCATTAGAAGTTAAAAAAAAAAAATCTGCATTTAAAAATATTTTTTTAGTGCTATTTTCATTTATTCATATGTTTGGGTCAATTCGATCCCGCATGCGAGCACTTAGGTATAGGTTAAATGGTGAATTTGATATCGCGTTTTATTTGAATTTTTTGTCAAACGTATATTCTGTCTAACATTTTCCAAATATAAAATTCGATACAATAAATGTTTCGTCATATCGAATGATTTAAATAATAAAAAAGAAGCATATCTTTATTAATATGTATATTTCGCGCATCCTTTTAATATGTATTTGTTTGGATTTTAATTATTTTATATATATTACACGTATATATATTAGGTTGAAATAATTTGGTGATTAGTACGCGCGTGATTAGGGGAGATTGGGATTGTTGGCACAGCTTTTACAATTTCGGCATTAGATTTTTTAAACAATTTATTATTATGAAATAAAATGTATTAATGTGATATTAATGCGATAGACAAGCTTTCTCTATATTTTCATGCCAGGCATGGTTCTATATAGTTTGTTTGTAGTAAGTAACGAACATGTTGCAATCAACTTATTGCTTCGATAGATGGGGTAAATTAACACATATCATGATGTAATTTGATAAATTCTATATTCGTATAATAATAGCACTTTTCTTTTAACTAATAATACATTACTTCAATGTTGCAAGAAAAATATTAATACGAAATTATGAAACGCTCAAATATTTACTTGAAATCTTTTGAATCAGACTTTTTCTTTCTTTATTGTAATATTTGTTTGATTGAAATGAATTTTAGAGAAAAATATTTATATTACAAAAGACATACTTTGCGGTAATTACCATTGTTTCTTTTGTCATAAATACATAAATGGGACATATGTGTCAATGACAAAGAGCTCCGGTATTCCTTATAATTAATTTTTTTGCAAACGAGCTTTATGAAATGCTGTGAAAATAAGGAAAAACGAGAAGAAAGAGGGTAAGGCCTAGAAGATAACCAGCAAGACAATCACAGGATAGTTTATTTATTTATTATTTTTGTTTTCACGGAATGGACAGTTTATAATTATTTTTATATATACGCAACATTTATTTTTTTGAAGTATTATGAATTATATTGTATAATTAAATAATATGAATTTTACTTTACATAGCTATATTTTGAATATATTTATTTTTGCAGTTCATCATGGCTCGTATTGGAACTTTGCCGTTGTGCATCGTATTGGTGAGTCAAAAATTGCTTTTTTTTTTTAAATTTAAAAGGTAATGCAACTGCGAAAAATATAGATAAATGTAGGGGAAGTACGGGCAAATGGATGCACTCGGTAAAGTGAATATAATTATTTTCAATTATCTCCTGAGATTGCACTATGAGTCTCTAGCAATTGAAGAAATGACTGACGATCAGGAATCAGCAACGATATGAAAGTACGAAATGATATATGATTGCATTTGTTTGTGCTTAATAAAGATATATAGAAAATTGAGTGATTTTTCCGTACATAGCTTAATTATTATCTGTAATTATTCCTTAATCAGTATGAATAATTTTTTATAAGAATTCTGTGTGTTTAAACGTATATTCGAGTATTTAAAAGTATTTCACTTGGTGCTTTAACTTATTCCAATCTTTCCAAATTTGCGTCACGTAAGTCCTTTGGACAAAGCGGGTGGGGGCAAAACGGATGATCCATCCTCTTTATTCGGTATATGATTACAATGAAAATACTGGGAATACGAAGGGACAGATGACCTTTCGAATGTACACGTGTTTGTTTACATTTTTGTTTATTTTTTGCCATAATTTTTTGCCACAATATGACGATTTGTTTATGACTAATCTAGTGCAGTCATTGCACCAAGTGAGCTCATAAAGGCTGCACATATAAAGGATTTGATAGCTACTTTTGTGATGATTGCCAAGATTGATTCTAATTTTTAAAATTTTATTTGCATTGCTCGAGTGATCCATTCGCTTTGCTGAGGGGGGGGGGGGGGGGAGGTCAGGCAAAGTTTCTCTTTTTATGTTTTAACTAAATATATTAATGTTCAAGTTTTTTAATTTTTTTAAATTTTATTTCAAAGTCTTTTAAGAGATTTATGAGAGTAAAAATGGTTTCTGATCTCAATTTTAATTGTGTCATTTTTTCTTTTCAACTTTAACATATCCGCGCTGTCCGGACTTCCCCTACGTATAATAAGTTATATGTATTAAATTAAGAAGCTGAAAATTTTATAAATGTAACACTTCGTGGATTTATTGCCATGTAGATAATAATGCATGAACTATAGATTAGTTTTAATATTTAACTTCAAGGCATTGTATATATGTTCACTAATATTTATTATGCATAGAATCCTGTATATACATATTTATATAATACAAACTGTAGCGAATGAATGGAAAATACTATGTAGATTTAATTTATGGTATTTTATTACAAAAGAATAATTACTTGTAATATACTCTCTCTCTCTCTCTCTCTCTCTCTCTCTCTCTCTCTCTCTCTCTGCGCGCGCGGGGTGTGTGTGTGTGTGTGTGTGTGTGTGTGTGTGTGTGTGTGTGTGTGTGTGTGTGTGCGCAATAAAATGATAAAAAATTATAAATATATTTAATTACAAAAAATATATTACTTTTCTGAAGTTTATAAAATAAATTTGCAATTAATAAAGTAGTGAGAAATATTTTAGATTATAGATATATTAAGTAAATTCGACAAAGAAAATGATAAGAAATGGTGTTTGAAAAAGAAAAATTTGTAAATCTTATAAAATTATCCCTTACACTTTTTGTTAAGTAAAGTTCCTATGCCATAATATAATCAAGAAAAAATTCAGTTTCTGAGAACATCATGATGAAAACACATATAATATTATAATTTATTTTAATCCAACTGTAAATCAAAAGAAAATAATCAAAATCATCTATTTATCATTCTTTTGATATTTCTTTGAAATTGCAATAATAATCTCATCGCGCGCGGCAGTGAGATTTAAATCGATAAGTGAAATTAATCTACAAATATAAATAAATAAGTTGTAAAAGATTAAAATAAAAGTGTATTAAATTTATTTAATAAAAAATATTGATTATTATTTGTTGTTGTATTTATTCTACAACTTAAAAAAGTACAGTATATTTTTCTTATGCTTGCGATATAAAAAAATTATGTTTCTTTTTTTGAAAATATACTTATAA